GTGGTGGTGGTGGTGGAGGGCGTTGAACGTTACGAACGGCATATGAGACCGAGGAAGAGTAGGAGAAATAGGAGGAGGAGGAGGAGGAGGAGGAGAATACGGTACTCTCTTTCTCTCTCACTCATTCATTCACTCACTCACTCACTCACTCACTCTTTCTTTCTTTCGGTGTCGCGCTCGCGCGCACGACCAGTTTTATGGATTTTTTTATCGGTGTGCTAGTGGCCCGTACAGCCCGCAGCCACTGGGATTCGGATATTCAATGTTGGCGTACCTGTATGGATATTAAATTAACACCCGTAAGCCGCGAGTATTAACAACTTTGCAAAAGATTATACGAGATTATGAGCTCAAGCGGAAAACGTGATTTTTAATACTCTCTCTCTCTCTCTCTCTCTCTCTCTCTCTACTCTCACTCTCACTCTCACTCTCTCTGTCTCTTTCTTTCTTTTCCTCTCAAGTTACTTCTTCGTTTAATCGTCATTTACGAATAGTCACGGGCTCGTTAAAGATCCTATTCGATCATCTCGAAAAGTATATTTATACATTGTGACTTTTCTGACCATTCATTATTTTTCGGTTTCTTTGAGAAATACTGAAAAAAAAATTCAAAAAGAAAGATCAGTGACCGTGAGGAATGATCGGATTATCAACGAAATATCAGTCAGCGGAAGTTGGATTGATCGATCGATAAACATTCGCGATTATGTTAACTTTGTATTCTGAATGATACGAGTAAGAATATTACGAGTATGTAAGTATATTTGTTAGTATTTATTGTTTTTGTATCATTTTTAAATGATTATTAAAAGATTGTTCATCGATTCATTGGAAACAATGAAATCCGGAATATGATTTTTTTGTCTTTAGGTGTATTAACGAAAACAAGGATTGAAATTGTGTATTTAGAAATGAGAGAGAGAGAGAGAATGAGAGAGAGAGAGAGAGAGAGAGAGAGARTGAGAGAGAGAGAGAGAGAGAGAGAGAGAATGAGAGAGAGAGAGAGAGAAAGAGACAGAGTTAATATTCGATCCCGCTAATCCACCATTGGAACACGTCGCTTTAGCTACGCTCGCCCTTTCGACGTTTTCCACTTCGCGTTCACGAAGCAGCCGGTATTAACTTCCACCAAAATTTATAACCTCCTGGTATTCCCGTCAGATCGGAAATCTCCTATTTTTTGTTCTGTACATCCCCGCAATAAAAATTCTTTTTCGGTAGAAGTATAGCAATAACAAAAGAAATGACTTGTTTATTGTTGTATTTTGTTTGTTCTAAATTCATCAAAATATTCTAACATCGTAAGATTCTATTTCGAATAATCAGATTTTCCTATAATATAAAATAATGATTAACCTCAAATCTGTTGAACGTGCTTGCACTTACCGACTGAGTAATAACCTCCTAGTATTCCCCTAGTTTTTTAAAACATTCCCGTAATAAAAATTCTTTCTGAAGGAAATATAACAACAGAAAAAAGAAATCCCCCGTTGTTTATAATTATCAATTATTCTAAATTCTAAAATATCTAATATATCGCAAGATTATATCTCGACTAATTCCAATAAAATAATGAACAACCTCAAATCTGTTGAACGTGCTCGCGCTTATCGACTGAGTAAGCAGTTGGTGCCGATCAACGGGGAATCCCGGAGGATTCTGAAGTAGCCGGGCGTTCAGTATAGTGTTCTCGCGTAGATTGCGTTTGCATGGTCAATGGAAATCGACGATCGAGCGGAGGCATACCGCAGACCGTGTTAGAAGAGAGGCTACGCGATGGCAAAGGTAATAATTGATATATAGCGATGGTGGCATTGGCCGCTGACAGCCGCTAACCCGGCCGAATACGGATGACACTCGGTAATCCTCACTCTCATACCGGTTAGTGCGTCCACCTATATTCGGTGCCGTCCCATTTCCCATTCCTATGGCGTGTAAGCTCTGTTTCTACCTTTATCTATCTCTCTCACTCACTCACTCAGCTAACCTATACCCTGCTGCATACAGGGTAACACGTACAACCTATACAGGTACAAGTATCAGGTGCTTTGTGTTATGTGTATCTGACGCATACACTTCTCTACATCGACGTAACATGTATATACAGTACGGGAATTAGTGTTAGTGTATTTGGATGGTTGTTGGTTGGTCCAGCAGCAGCAGCAGCAGGCCTGTGGAAACTACGTTGCACACAGGCTTCAACTACGAAACACCAGACGAACTCGCGTGTTAGTGTGCGCTGGTGCAACTATACTAATCCGCCGATGGATTTATGGTCTTAATCACCGGCGGATTATCTCGGACAGCCGCGCTCTGCTGCCACCGACCGAAACATACGCCTGCCTCTTTGTAGATAACTGTACCTAGCTCAGTAGCAGCACCAGCAGCACCAGTAGTAGTAGTAGCAGTACCACCACTGAACCTGTCCTTCTCTCTCTCTTCCTCCTACTCGCCCACTATCTCTATCCTTTTCTATCCTCGTGTTGGCATGTTTTCGGCTCCCTCTTTTTTTCGCTAGATGGATTTCTCATCCGCTTATGGATTCCACACCCACGTTCTCTCTCGATTCGACCTAACCACTCGAGGGATTGGCCAAGGGAGAGACCAACTAAGATGGCTGACGATTCTTACAGTGATACGTGCTTTGCTAAAATACTCGAAGAATATAAATACTAATTCGTACATTAAAAGAGATATGTATGAGATATATACTTGTAAAATATATTTCAACAATCTAACAAAAATTATGATTACAATTTTTAATGTTTTATAAACCGTTTAGTTGCTTTTGAAATTTCTATTTAAATGGATAGGAATATCATCCTGTAAAGCTTTCTATGCATACATATATATAGAAGATAGCAAGAATCTTGCTTTTGCAGAGAGTAACAGTGGAAAGGTAGGATATGAAGCTTTCAAAATGAGAAACGTCCCAGAGGCGTTACAGTTTGCGAACGAACGAACGAACGAACTATGCCACACGGTGCACGGCTTCTGGGATTCTGCAGCAGCATTTTGGTACATGCCGTGTGGAGGACTCTGGCGGGAACACCGTAGCATGCTATGTGTGTGCTTCTATAAATCCACGAGGGCTTACTCGTGCAAAGCCTCCCTCGTGGCTCGCGCAAACCCATCCTACACCCTTTTGTCCTATCCCCTCCTATTCCCTTACCATCCCATCCCTCCACCCATCTTCCATCTCAACCTCGTCCAACTCTCGTAACACACGTGACCGCCAACTTGGATTCTTATTTTTCTTCAAGCTGCTACTAACAACCCTTGCAACCCAACAAGAACACATCACCACCACCACCACCACCTTACACCCCCCCTTTTTCTATATATTTTTCCTAAAATGAAAAACTCATTGTTCGAATGGGTTTGTCCAGTCATCGAGAAAAAAAAGGTGATAGAAAATTCTGACAAGACCTTTTCTTACCTACTCTCTAACGTGGCCTTCGTAAAAACTCAGAAAAATATTCCCCTGTTTTCGTTGTAATCGATATTGTGACTGACTACTATATACTTCACGCCTCAATGCAACCCATTCTACCATACTTCTAAGTTAGACCCTTATTTCTGAACCCACACGAGATATAATATAATACTTCAGTTCTTATTTATTGACAATGAGTTATTGAATTAACAGACTAACCGAAGATTCGTCACGATTAGAAAAAAGAACAAAATATTCAGGAAGTACTTGAACTGTTTTAATCTATTTTTTTTTGTTCGGTTTGTTTCCAGGATTAATAAATACTTGTTATATTACACACACGTGTATATATGTGTGTATATCGCGATAACATAATCGGGATTCCACGAAATCGAAATAAGATCGTATCGTTTTATATTACCACATGCATACTACATAAATATGTAGGTGTGTTTAAGTGTAAAAATAATGTTTTGAAATATCTCTGGCCCGATCTAAATCATGATTCGATAGTTCGATTATGAGAATGGAATTCGTGTTTGTAGATGATCATCGGGCTTACCCTGACTCGAGCTTCCGTCAAGTGCGTCCACAACGCAATTTCTTCTCTCATGGACATATCCGGATATCGGTTTCTCATAAACGTGGCCTCCAAATCCTGAAGTTGTTGAGACGTGAAGTGTGTTCTCTGTCGCCTTTGACGTTTGTTCTTTTTACCATCCTTGTCATCCGTGTCGTTAACGCCAACAACACCATCGGGAGATACGACACCACCACCGGCACCCAACTCGTGTTTAACTTCTGTTAGTCCAATACCTGAAAGTGTTCTGGCTTCATATTCTTTTAATATTAACACGTTTTATATCACGTTACCCTCTTTTATTTATTTTTTATTTTATCAAGGGTCTAACACGTTTTCATATTTGTTTAACACTATTTTGACATACCTATTCCTATCAAAATAGTAATAGGTAAAAATATATTTTATTAAAAATATTTTATGTAAGATAATATGAAGTTCATAAAAGTGATTCATTAGTTATAGATACAAAAGTAACGTTATCATTATACGGAAAGAAAATATTACATGCAGGTAGGAATTTGAAATTGAAATTGCAAGATCATTTATTTTGATTGATATAAACCCCATTTGATTAAATAATACATACACGCCATTAAATAATTTCAAACAAATTCTATCATAAACACCTTACACCAATAATTATCAATTATTAAATAAATATCAATTCAAATTAAAAAGAATGAACAGAATTTCATAAAATCCCAGCAAACGAATTTGGTAGAAAATAGGGTGCGGGGGGGGGGGTGAAAGGAACAAATAATATGATTTAACAATAAGATAAGGTCTGCTGGTAGGATCTAAGTAACGATCATAGATCACGTCAATCGTTTGACCAGTAATCTCTACTTTGACAGTATGATACCTTCCCTCCCACCCCCTCTTTCCTCACATTAGAAAGAAGAGGAGAAAAGAAGAAGACGGGGGTCCTTTTTACATATATGTGTGTGTGTGTGTGTGTGAGTCATGATTGCGACAGTGACAGGTGAGGGTATTTCATCCCTCCGAACTTCCCTCCAAACTTTCCCACCAAACTTCCTTGCTCGAATTGACAGGCACGTGATTGATTGGTTACCCTTCTCAAAGAGTACCGCTATCAGTGCACGTTAACTATCTTTCACCATGGAATCTATCTGCTACTCTACTTTTTTTTTCAAACTTTAACTCAAGTTAACTGACCCGAACTTGACCGATATTTTCACCAATTATAAATATATCAATTATATTAATTAACCCTTCTTTGCATGATTTTTTCTTTTTTTTTTTTAAAAATAAATCAGGGGGATGTAATTAATGCTCTAGATTAAAGGAAAAATATTTAAAAAAAAATCCTAGTGCTATTTTTTGACAAGTGCGTTTTGTTGTACGCAATAGTCGCATGAAAAGTTGCCAGCAACAACAAATATACAGTACAACGGTTTTGAGTACCTTTTTTTGTTGACTAAATATTATGATTGAAATTTCCATCATCATGCAAAGAAGGGTTAATCAGCAACAACAATAACAACAACAACTTAACAAACGTTGTATTATTAATTCTTGTTTTAAATTAATAAAATATTAAGTAACGTGAACAGGGTTGGTAAAATGAATAGGTGCTGTTGACATCAGAGAAATGATTAAAATAAAACGTTTCGTAGATAAATGTGACTCGAACTTATTAAAAAAAAAAAACAACGCATAAACAAGTTGATTATTTATCGAATAATTTTGATCGATTTTTTTTTTATTCTCGTAAAACAAAATCAATTTAGATAAATAACAAATAAAAATGAAGAAAGAAAAAGTAAAGTGTCGAAAAAACAGAGACCTTAAATATTTATGCAACGTCATGACACGTTGAACAGTTACCATCTCTCTCTCTCTCTCTCTCTCTCATTCTTTTTTTATTTCTTTCTTTCATTGTCTATCTTGAAGATAAAACTTTTAGGAAAGAGAATGCGTTCAGTAAGCTCCACCCTATTCCCTCCTTCTCATTCTCCGGAACGTGCTGGACTCGAAGAAGAGTTGGTACTCGGGATTATAAAGTGCGAAGTGAGAGATCTGTCCCCCACCCCCACCCCCACACCCACTCCCGTCTCCCATCCAGTGTTTGTTGTTAAACAGAAAGAGAAAGAGAAATAGTAAGAGTAAGAGAGTAACAGAGAAAGCTGTGGAAAGTCCCTCACAAGGCTCCGAGGGATATTTCAATTTGCTGGGATTTAAAAGGACGGCTAGTAGAGATAGAGAATGAAAGAAAGAAAGAGAGAGAGATAGAGAAAGAGAGAATCAAGCTAAGTGCCGAACAAACGTGCAAACGAACACGAGCTTGAAATTCTTCAAGGAAAAGTAAAAGAGAGAATAAGTAGAAGAAGTAGAAGACTGATCTTCCAATTCAGTCGTCTCTTTTTTTTTTTTTTTTCCAAACTTCTCTTAAGATTGAAAATGACGATTAGTACACGAAATTACATCTTCCATCTGAAGCATACCCCACCAAAGTATAATAATCGTCAGAACAAATACTCGTCGAGGATCTTTATAACTTGAAATGTGTCTAACACAAAATCTCTGTTTTCTGTCTTCTTCTAAAACCATGGGGGAAGATGGGGGAGGGTTTGGGGAGGGGAGGGGGGAAGGGAATGGGAAAGAGGAATGGGGATCACAAAGAAGAAAACTGGCAATGATCGTGAAGAGTTAACTGAAACAAACCTTTTTGTATGTTCGGCCTGTGCGTGGTATTTGTTCGTGATCTCGGTTGAGCCGTTGAAAATCCTGCTGACTGTGTCATCGTCGAAGTGACACCAGGTGTACCAGGATTGCTTCCACCCGGTGTATGTGCCCCGTGACCCGTTGAATCGAGCCTTGCCAAACCGCCGTTTGTTTCATCTCGAAAATCGCTTTGCGCCCATACTGAAATTTATAATTCACAATTTCTTGCAAAGTCTTCTTCCTCTTCCTCTTCTTCTTTTTCTTTTTCTTTTTCTTTTACCTCTTTTTTTCAAAGTTTTATACTTTTTTTGGCGCGTTTTCACGTTCATGCGCGCGCACCCCGTCGCGTAAGTCAACGCAGTGAAGTTAGCCGCGGTATTTACGATGCGCGCGCACACCGACGCCGAAATTAACAGCGCGAAGTTAGTCGATAAATCTTAAAACTTATTTCTTAAAGAATAGATTCTCTTACACACGTTTTGAAATGTTTTTATTTTAAAAAATTTTAAATCGAATGATCACTTGAAAAATTTGTTACCTTCGCAAAAGTTTTATGCTTTAACAGGATAATAAAAGAAAATTTCTTTTTCTACATTTGATGAATCAAATTAATTCGACAACGGTTAACAAAAATATTCAAATTCATTTCTATACCTGAAACAACGACGACCATAGAAAATTTGCCTAACCTTCGACCCACAAAACGTCAAAACCCACCAAAGAACATTCATGCACCCCAGCACACATCAACACATCATCATCATCATCAAACACAAATATCTTTCTTTCATCTTTCGATGATATACAAATTAAAATCCATTTACCATACTAAAACACTTTAATCTATATTAATCTAAAAGAAAAAATGTCACAATTTGCAATAAAATAATATTCATTTATTTTATCGGGCTCGAAAGAAAGAAAAGAAATCTGGGAAACGAAACGTTTAATGCGGAAACAGAAGATTGGACGAGAAACGTTTCAAAATTACGATCCGAGCTTGTACCTCGATTATTTATCTACTTCTCGGTATAAGAGAAAAAGAGACAGAGACAGGGAAGAGGAGAGGAGAGAAGGGGAGAGGAGGAGGGAAGGGAAGGTTGTTAGAAGAAAATAAAAGACATTTTTCTGTTTCCGTGGCTGTTTTGGGGCCCCGGGCTGGTCCGGGCCGACCGTGATATTACAAGGAAAACAGAATAAGTTGGGAATAGGGGGGAAAGGTGCAAGAAAAAGAGAAAGAGGGAGAGAGAGAGAGAGAGAGAGAGAGAGAGAGAGAGAGAGAGAGAGA